ACATCTATCAGAGAAAACAAATTCAGCAGAAGTAAACAGCATCATACATCTGGGTAATATGAGTACAAGAGAGAATCTGAGTCACCTGAAGCAGTAAGAAAGAAATACACCTCAAATAAAGAAATGCTTTGTCAGAAGCAGGAAAAATGCTAGTCCATAGAAATTATTATTGTAGTCCACACTTACCTAGTACATGGATCACCTTTAATGATCCTGCCTTTAGAACAGAACTACATTTCTAGTTCTTAAGTTCTAGTTCTGTATCAACACCACATAAAGGTCTGAGGTAGTGGAGGCAGAGAGGATGGTGGATTATGTCCCCATCCTGTAGAAAATAATCTCCTACCCCTCAAAATCCTGCTGCTGTATTCCTGGCATTTTACCTCATTAGTGTAAAATACAGCTGTCACTCTGTGCAGATAAATCAGATGGCAAATCAGAAACAAAAATAAGACAGCAGTCAGAGAGATCTTAACTTCTCACTGTCAGAGGGAACCAATATGTCCATGCAATTAGGCAGAAAGACTCAACACACCATTTAGAAAAAGTAGTTCCTTCACTCCAACTGCTTCCTGGCCTGGGAACAGGTCAGAGCTATACTGGTTCAGGCCTGGGACGATCCACAATGCTATACATAGTTCCCACCCATGGCTACACCATAAGAGATGCAGCCCCTCTGCTTGCTAAACCAAGCCTGGCTTGAGAGGAAAGGCTGAGGCTAGGATCTGGGATCATGCATGCAAACCACACAGTGGAGGGACAGGCTCCTAGCACTGTCCTCGAAGGGGTGTGGTAGGTATCTTCTGGCGGTGTTGACACCCTGTTTCTGGGGGACAGGAGGACAGGTACATAGGTTAGAGCCTAAGCAGATGGATCCGATAGCCTGTGGGGAGAGAAGCTGTACACGAAATTCAGTACCGGCTCATATACTTTGCTAGGATAACAGTCCCCCAAATGAATCAGTCACTCAAAAGGATCAAGAGGTGCTTATTGATCAGCTTTTACCTAGTTCGGCATTTCTTGTTCTCAGCTTCTCCCTTCCCCAAAAAGCTGCAAATTTTGTTTTTCATACCTTCCTTCTGTAGGGGACAGCTCCTTCAAATCCTCTAGGCAGGGCTTCACGTTCAAGAGTTTTTTGTACAGAGCCAAGGGAAAGTGAAGGTCTACCACTGTGAAATTGTATATTGCAAGACCACATATGATGCCAATCAAGTGAAACCAGTTGTGTTCTACAAAGCACTGCAAAACCACACAGAGAAATCCTGATGAGACACACTGTCACTGCTGCAATACACAGTACCCTTTACTCCATGCACTAAGAAGCCAGCGCCAGTCTGGTTGTGAATACCTTGCTGGAGTGTGGGACAGAAATGAAGATTTAGAAGCCACACTATTACTCTTGTAAGCCATGATTAGCTGTGGAAACAGCAACGGCTGCTTTCCACCTCACCTGCCTTTTATTTCCATTTTACGTATCTCAGCATTTAGACACTAACAAAGCTTCAATGTTTATTGCCTATGTACTGCAAGAAAATGTGTTAATTCCTTCCCTATTGCCCATCCTATTTTCTGTTATTAGTTTATGCATAATCACAGTGACACCCAGGCAAATATACCAGCAAAGGTATTGGCATACAACCTTACACTCTCTGCATGTTTACTCTCACACTGGTACATCAGTCCCAGACTGGCTGCCTATGTTTGTTAAATGTTCTAAATACATGACTTGTTTCAGTGCTTACAATGTCATTACTCTAAGTGTCAGAAGACTCATTTTATAGCAGTAACATGAGAAGTGATTGCTCTGTAACACTGTTTACAAGTTGCAAAAGGTACCATATGATTTCCTTGTACAATATAATTAATAAATTAGGAAGAAGGCACCTTAGAGGAAGACTGACAACATCACTTCCCATCTTGCTACCTAGGAAGGTGAAGGAAATTACATAAACCACCATCTCCAGCATAATGCTATCTGACACGTACAGATTTTGCGCTCCACACTCTTCCAAAACCAATCTCCTACTACACACATAAAGCATTAACAAGTTTAGATCCTGAAGGTGATAGTGATGCATGACTAAGTGGATTGGTTGCAATTATGTGAACAGCAAGGGAGGCACAGAATTCTAATGTCATTACCACCTAAACCTCTCGTTCTGTAAAACAGAACATGACTGTCACATTCATGATAATAAGAGTTCTATTAAATGTCATCTGACCCTTAATACAAGTTTTATTATGGGATAAGAATAAAGAGAGAGAGCCAACTCCTTAACAGGCACAGCCATCACCCTTCTACTAAAGCTAATGGAACTATTTACACTAACTGAAAACAGAGCTCACATTGTATCATAGGTGGAAAAGAGAAGAAGATAATTTCTTTCCCATAGTTTGCTACTAACTTCCTTGTCATTTAAATGCAGCATATTATTCCAACATGCATGTACAGAGGGCAAGGGCTTACCGTGTCTGAAAACCACAGGAGGTTTGACTCTGGGTAGTAAGTGAACATGCCATAAATAGGGTTGAGGAGTTCTTTTAACAACAGCAGGAAAAATTCCTTTGTCACTCCTCCAGCATCAACAGCTTCCTCACCATCAAAGATGACCTGTACAAAAAATAGGTCAGTAACAGGGATGCAGGGCTCAGACTGAGTGAATCAGACACCTTTCTAACTGAAGGCCAGGCAAAGCAATTTGTCTAACATGCCCAAACACATTCCAACTCACAAGCTTGTTTCAGTGCTCTGCTTGCAGGGACAGAAAGAGAACAGAGGGTGGCAAACTATATATTTTGAAAAAGTTTCATTCCTTATGCAAATCACAGATAACCACCTGTTGTCCCAATAACCAAAGCAGAAACATGACAGCAGCTACTGAACATTGTAGCAAAATCTCAGAGATAAACAGGTCCTATTTAAAATAACCTGTTCCTGCAGAAGGACAAAACAGAGACTGCATAGTATCATAGAAATGTTTCCACCACTGCCCCTTGCACACTAGATGCCCTGGGAGAAGAGAGTAAACCTCCTGCTTGCCTTCCTGTAAACTATCCACTGCCAAAACACTCCAGGAGCCAGAAGAGATCAGATCAGTGTTCCTGTGCGCTACACCTGTGGAGAAGCTGCTGCACACTGGTCAAGTGGTAATGTGAAATGAAAATGAAAGGGTGCTAAAGATATGGCAAAAACTTACTTTAAGAGGCTTTTTCAAATCAATGTCTGAATGGATGCTCAACTCCCTTAAAGCATCACCAACTAAGTTATTCCTGCGAACATGAAGTACTAGGAAAGGGCTTCTGGCCAGCAGAGGCTCCAGGGTGAGAAGCATGAAGACATTCTGCAAATTTGCACCATTTATTGCAACCTGCAAATAAAAGAGGGGTCAAAACCAGTTGCTACTCAGCTCCTTTCTTCCTATGAAGGGAAAGCAGTTAACAACTATATGCCTGATGTTCCTTTCTGCCGTATGTTTTTATTTTGGTTTCCCCAGGGTTAAAGGGGTGACATGCTCACTCTGTACAAATGTGTGAGTCTGTATGCCTACCTTCTGAGTCCACTGATTGATATACCGAATTTGAACAACACAGAGATCAAATTACTGAATGCTTTTTTTAAACATTAGGCAGGTGGGTTGGAAGAAGAGTCTTTATTCATGCTCTTACTGAGTCAAGAAACTCAGTATGAACACACCCTGATAAGAGTCAGAGAGTTCATGAAGGAAAGCAATGCTAAAAGGAGCCAGTTGGCAAAGGCATTTGGCAAGGCACCAGGGGAACCCACCACATGTAATTCAAAGCCCTCAACCACATGGATTTCCTGGAGTTGGGCAAGACACAAAGTCCAGCCAAAGCTTTGACCACACATGCACTGTCCACAGTAAATGGGAAATTCGCATTTGAAAATTCAGTTGAAAAGTCAGTTAAATCTGAGACTGAAATCCACCAGAAACCAGGCTTCCTCTCTTCCAGCAGTCACAGAACTATTGGTTTCTTTGGCCACTAAGTGGCTGTCTTCATAAAGATCCTATCTCTTGGGTAACAAAACCTTTACCAATCTGCTGTTCTGCCGAGATAAAGTCAACACCCTCCTCTCAGCGGTGCACTGCTCACAAGACAGGCAGCTAAAAACATGTGCAAGAGGGTGACAAAATGAAAGCAGAAGGTGATTGCAGTATCTCAGTGTAGACCAAGCCTCTTCAGCCTTGCTGAAGGCTATCTGCTCAAGCAGCCATAGAATAGCTGTACCGGATGAGCAGTCAGTGTCCAATGCTTTGCCTCTCTCAGGTGCCTCCTGAGAGGCACCTGTGTCCCAGCAATGCCTGGCACTGGGACATTTACACTGGCACAGAGGCTGGCTGCCCTTGTCACAGCTTGGCTGTGAGCTGGCTTGGCTGCCACCTACCGTGTAAAGGTGCTGGAGCTGAACATTTGTTCTCAACACACTCCTGGAGGACCGTGGGTCTGTGCCCCTCACGGCAAAAGGGGGGGTGGGCTGCTGACAACAGATGCTGCTCAATGTGAGAAGTAACAACCACTCCTGCACCAGACAGGAACTTGAAACAAAGTGTCCACTTACCAGGAAGTTTGTCTACTTCTCCAGTCTTAAAGCTCATCTATTTGAAACCTCACCTTACTTCTCATCCTTGGACTATCAAAAATGTGTAACTATTCCTTCCCTATATAGTTTAAATTTTCATCGCGTGCACATCTGGCAGTTCTGATGCTACCAAACATTTTGAAGAGGAAGACACCAAGCACTGTCCCTGCAATTTCCAGGCCAGAGAGGTTCTTCAGCTACACTACGCTCCTGCATCATGGAAACAATGTGTTGCACACACCAACTCCCAGTTGACATCTTTTCCATGTAGGCACCATTGGAAAAGGCAGAGAAAAAGAAATGTGTCAGGAAAATTGGGAGAAAAATTACCTGCATCTGTAGTTCTGCATCTGTCTGTAACATCTTGGTCTTAGCCTGAGCATCGAAGATGAAAGGGTAAGAACAGAGAGTCACAGCATCCTGCAAGAAAGGCAGGCAGACTGGTTCCTATCTACAGCTTCCAGAGCACTTTTTAAAATAAAAGTCATGAAAAAGAAATTTTCTTACCTGCATGATAGATGGCCTTACTTTCTGTGAAAGAAAAAGAGATACATGAAAATCTTTTACTCTTTTGATTTTTGTCTCTTCTATTTTTTTTGATGGATTGGTTCAAAGGTGTCACAAAATAAATTCTCCTCTGGGACCAACGACCCATTTTTTCCTCTTAAAGAAAAGCCTGGGAACTTCCTTCTCAAGAAAATGCACAAGTATAATTCAAAACATGAACACCAAATGTTACTCAGAGGACTAACTGGCACAGGAGCCTGTGTTAGCCTGCCATAGGTGGAACTTACTCTTAGGAAGAAAAGCAAAAAAACCACCCCAAGGCAAAAACCATATGATGAACAGGAGAAAGCATACGGCCACAACATGGCCACACAAGAACACTCCTGCAATGCAAATTACTCATAATTAGCCACATTAACACAATTTTAACTATTGCTTACATAAATTTGAGTCAGTATTTTACTGCTCTGCTCACTAAAAGTAAGCACACAGCAGTACTATTTAAATGATGGAAAGTAGGGGATGGGGGTCACAGCACAGACAACATTTAGAAAGTCCATTAAAACACACAAAAAATTATCACTACAGTCAGGTTGTACTCTTGCAGCATCCCTCGGGTAGATATTTTTGGTGTTTTCTCACACTTGGGATTCCCTTCCTTGCCATAACTACATAATCTCACTGGGTTCCCACACAGCATATTCCAGCCCTCAGTTTAGTTAACTCCTTTCTTACAGATGGGAAAGTGAGACATAAAAGAGGTGAAGGGTCTTACCCAAGATCACCCAGCAGGTTATTGGAAGAGCCAGGAATAGAACCCACATCTCGTGAGGCTTGGTTCAGTCCCCTAGCCAGAACGCCACACTGCCTCCTCTTACAGAGCAACTTTTTAAGATCACTGGCTACATTATTCACAATACCTGCCTAAACAGCAGAAGTAAAGGGTAAAAATTATAATTTTAGAATATAGGACTTGGCTCCTGAGGTCTCGATTATATTACAAGGATCCAGTGACTGAATTAATCCCCTTGTGCAAGGATTGAATGAAATTCACATGAATAATCACAGAGATTGTTGCATTAGTTAAATGTTGTTAGCTCCAACTCTTCTGACAGCCTTGTTTTTAAGTCAGTTTTGTCAAGCCACTGAGTTCCCAAATCTGAGAGACTTAACAGACAGATGCTTCTATACTGAATACATTACACCCTCATTAAGGATATTGAAAATACAACCAGAGACACAAACATGAACAGCTGTTTCATGACTATGCTTAAAACCTCTTACCATTCCAGCCTGATGCAAGAACCACATAAGATAATCCTCCTGAATATCCACCAAGCTGGAAATCTCTGGGATATAAAACTTATCATACTCCACATGTTTCACCTTCTGATTTACCTAGTGAAGAAAGCAGATGGTTTTTAACATATGGTTATATTCAGCACTTTCCTAGAACGTGGAGGTTTGCTTTCATAAAATCAATCATAGCAGCTTGCAACAGGACCCAAAAAGTCTTAGAAAAACACATGATCCTTTACATATTTAGTACAAACCAAGAAGAATCAAGATAAACCTCTTTCTGACTAATTTTAGTTCCCTCTCCTCCTCACCGAGACACCCAGCACCAACACAGTGGGAGCAGAGACCATCAAGGGACAGGTATTTGTGATGCTGTAGCGCACATAGTCCGGTGGCTCAGCAATGGCAGTGTTTGAGACAGCCCTAAATGATCTTCAAGTACCTTGAATTCAGGAAAACCACTAGCATCCTTCCCTCACGACGTGTTGGCAGAAATGACAGAGCTCACAAGCCAGGGCTATGACCACTCTGCCCCTGACAATTGGCAAAGGGCCGATAAGACTGAATCGTCTTAAGACAACACACACACAGCCTTTCCTCTTACCTTGTGGAGTTTCTCCAGAAGTCTGAGAGCAGCTGTAATGTAGCTGCTGAACAGGACTGGGATCAACAGTGTCTTTCTTCCACTGAGGAGGTAAACCACTGCGCCTTTATAGAGGTCCACAAGCCTGAGGAAATATCTCGGGCACACTTGAGACCACCAGTTATCTGGAAAGCAGAGGACAAAGATATAAACCTGAATGAAAGGTCAGAGTAACTGCTAAAATAAGGAAATACACCCAAATACCGTTTCAAAAAACTTCCCTATTACTGTCTTAACTGTAGCAACAGAAAAGTGAGGCAGCAACTCATCTAAATACCACAAACTGAAAAGTTCCTCCCTTTCCACTCTTATACAACCACCCCAGTCACTACCCAGCCCAATCCCTGATCAGAGTGAGACCATGAATTAGAGGCTTTTCAACCTTCAATTCAAGACACTGTTTCAAGTGTTTGGTATTCAAGATACTGTAATCTTATGTCAGTTGTCTCTCATGAGTGATAAGAAAACAGTTCCCTGGGCAATTCTCTGTAGTAGCACATACTTTTCTAGCAGGAGTCACGTGTCTCCTGCTATGTCTGCACTAAAGGTCTAACTCCCCCTCTTTATAAAGGCTCATTTCTTTCTTGTCAAGAACAAGTAACCCTTACGTCTCCTCTGAAGGGACCCTGACTACTAGCTTCTTTGCTAGAACCAATCCAATATGCAAAGTAGGAGCTGGAGCTTAGGAAACCATCATGTCAACTGTTAGAAACAAACATCAATTTATCCCCTCAAGTGTCAACACAATAGATTCTGACAGGCAAAAGCATGAGAATCCTCTACATTTCTGTATGCAGTGGACTACTTTGAGTAGAGGAAGAAACTTGCATTCAAAGCCTCTTTGATTAATTAAAAAAATTAAAAATCACTAAGTTTAAATACTTATTGGAGTGATGCTTCTGGAGGTCTGAATGCATCACACAGCATGTTACATGATAATATGAGACAAGTACAAAACATGGTACAGGACAGCCTTACGAAACAAAATAAGATAACAAGAACATGAGTAGCAATCATTAAGCAGCATATGTTCTGTTTAGTCTAAAATAAGTTCATAGGAAAAAAAGACTCAGAAGTGTGAGAAGAGTTGAAGAGTTCAGCTTGATAGGGTTTTCCATGTCTTATAAAGGACAAAATAACTTCATATTTTATCTAGTATATTCTTTTATTTACCTTATAAAGAAAGGATATTCTAAAGTGAACAGTATGATTTAATCTTCACAATACACAAAAATCTATGTTTACATAGAGGCATGTAAATTTATCTGGAACTGAATCTCGGAATGTAGGTAAAGTAGATAAGGTAAATTAGTTTAACCTCCCTAGTAAATGTTCTTTGAAATTATATTCTACTTCTAAATTAAAACAATTCTTAAGTTGAATTTTCTTTATCATTTATCATCCACACCACCATAAATTTTATATGTTTTACACTATTATAATTAACTTCCCATATCTTACCTGTATGGCACATTCTTCATTTCCTCAGAGTTCATGTTTAAATTTGAATTTTATGTTTTTAATTCTTTTACATGGGAACATAGGTTCTGGGTGGGAGGACTCCTTGAGTCCTTTTGTTTCCCAGTTGCTTTTTATAGGAAACTGATTCATAACAACATCACAAATTATACCCAACTGCAGCCATTGTAACAGAATTTTCTATTCAAAGGAGACATGAGACTATTCGAAGTGACTCAATAACTTGGATACCACAACAAGCATCTTAACCAACACAAACACATGACTGAGAAATCTAAAGGCAAGACTTTATGTCCCAGCAGGATACTAAGAGCAACACACATCTTAAATGACAGACTCTTACCAAGAACTTTGCTGGGGTTGGTATCTAGGCGCAGAATTGCCATTGCTAGAGGAAGTGTTAAAGAGATGTAATACTTGGAGTCTTGGAAGGGTGGGAATTCAGGAAGAATCAGATAGATCCTCATTGCCTCAACATCTGGTGGTGAGCTGGACAGCTGAGGAATCAAAAAACTTTCAAAGCTCTTCAGTATCTAGAGGATAACAAAACAAAAAAGACAGCTTATCCTGGGTGACAGATAACCTACAACGTAGATGATGTTTAAGAACTGATGAAATGCGCAAACCCTATTTAAAAAGTCAAACCCAGAGTAAAAAAATCAAGCCGTAAATATTATAGCTATAAGTGGCAAGGGGAACATATACAATTCCATCCCACAGTTCTGCACTTATGAAAGAAATCCTCTACGTCAGAATAAATTATACAACCATAAAGCACTCAAATTCTGACAGATTCATGGTGATTGTTTACAAATATAACATACACAGAATTCATTTCAGCAGACATTGAAGTATTAAATGTCATGAGATAAAACTTTTTTTAAAAAAAAAAAGCCTCAGAAACAGACTCTGAGAAGGTCATAATCAGACCAGGACAATGGAGAAGTATCAATCGATAGCATGAAGCATCTGGCCTTTACATTTACAATACAACCCTTCCCCAAAACTGCTGCTGGTATTAGCGTGTTGAAGAGGGACAAAGCTTGAATTTCCCTTCTGAATATCCAAAACCTCAGAAGTGCAATACCTGGTCTAGGAGAATGGAGTGCTGAGAGTTCATCAGCTTCTCAAACAGCACTCTGGTGGAGTTCAGATCAATCCCTGGGATCTTTGGACTGGTTTTAAAGTGTTCATCGATGCTTTAAAAAAGAAATGACACACAGACAGGCATAAGTTGAAGGAAGAGACACCATCACCTGTGTATTGACATAGCCTTAGAGCAAACAATGGAGAAATGACCTCTAGGGAATTCACATAAGATTCAAAGCAGAAGTCTTCCTAAAAACAACTCTTCCTTCTGAATTTCGCTGGGCCTTGGTTAGGGCTGGGATTCTTGCAGAGAAATAGTTTATCAAAGTCTTTGGTTTCCCCAGGACTCCTTCACTGACTTAAGAGCCTTCCTAGATAGGCTGGATGACTGCTTAAAAACCTATAAAAACGTATCTAGCATATGTACCAGGATCCTCTGGGCTGCCTTCATATACACCACTATTACAGCGAAATCTGTTCCATCACACTCAGTAAGAAAGGAACAGTCATACAAGAGGACCTCAAATGACGGTTTTCAAAGGAAAACAGGTACATATCCAGAGTAGTTTTTTGGCAATTCTACTCTCAAACTTTATATAACTAAACAACAAACCACAATCAAAACATAACACAGTTGAGAACAGTCTTTGCATGGTCTTTAGTTGTAGCAAACGTGCTGCTCTTTCTGCTGTGCTTGAGAGGCTGTAATTTGCTCAGTCAGCCTGTGCAAGAGGGATAATAAAGACAAGCTTGCAGAGGACAGTAGCCCAACAGTCAGATTCAATAGTACAACACCCAGCCCTAGCAACACTGGATGTCCAGCCCAGCAGGTGAATCACCTACCTCAGTGCAAGAGCATGATCAGCATCTATAGCAGAGGCTATCACCACCACTGTCTGCAGTAGAGCTACATATAAAACCTTGCAGTTGTTAGTATAAAAAGGCCATTGCTACAATTCCATTGACCTCAACGATTTCCCAAGTCTGTCACTAGTCACACGAGACAGTGCTGTATTAGACACTCTGAAGGAAAAGGTAGCTATTAAATACTGGATGCATTTGTCAGTTTGCTGGTATGAATAAAACAACACAAGAAGCTAAATACAGCCTGCTCTAGTAGAACGGCTACTCCCATAACAGCACAAGCACCAGGCTGAAAAACATCTCCTCAAAGATGCTGTGGTACAGTTAGAGGCTGCGCTGTGCAGAAGTAGTATTAGGGCATGCTCAGTCATAGAATCATAGAATCAGCT